TTTAAAAGCAACAGAAAAGCAAAAGCTGGTCTTTAAAAGGATGAATTTCAGATTAAAACTATGATTCATGTGTTTCCAGGGTGTTGCATGACAACAAAAAATAAAAATGAAAAAACCATTGAGAGACATAACTTGAGAGACAGTTCTTGTGCTGCCCCACTTTGGCTTGCACGTCTTCGCCTGAGGGTGGCAGTATTACGACAAGAGTAGAGCGAGTTAAACAATGTCAACAAAGTCGTCAATCTGCAGCCGAACTTTAACAGTGGCAATCTTTTTATGAGTAAAGAGACCATATGCCTGTGAGTATTGTATAGTGGTGTATGTTGCTGTTACTGCTGTTTCTGTAAGTTGACAGTATATTTTCGTCGCTATGACGATGCTAATTTTCTAGCTTGTATATGGGGTTTTACATTATATGTTAGCATTAAGCTAGCGGACTTTATTAATGGCAGTGTTGAGTGCTGTTTCAAACTGTGTTGAATACCTTTGGTATTTAGAGATACATATAATGTGATAGTATAATTTTTCTTTTGTATGTATTTCAGTTTTACAGTCAACTTCAATTGGGAGTCATAAATAAACCCTTGAAGAAAGGAAACTTTGACTCTTATTGGAGAACTGTTCACTATCTGCCAAACTAAACACATCCTACGTTCAGGGAGGGCAGGATAGTTCTTGAAAACAAATCCATTCTGCTGAAGAACAAAACCGGAGAGAGAGAAAGTGTAAAAATAAAATTAAAACAAAAACATCTTCTCAGTGGTGGAAAGTACAGTACTTAGGTACAAATTAGAGTCTTTAAGTAAATATTTCAATTTTATAGTAGGCTACTTTATTCTCTTTAATTGATATATCTAAAACTCTAAAAGAGGCTATTTTGTACAATGAGTACTTTTTACTTTAGTGAATAAAGTATTTTTTTATGATAATACCTCTGTACTTTTACTCAAGTGACATTTTAACTTGTAAAACATTGTTTTTACTTTGTGATATTGCCACTTTAACTTAAATAAAAGATTTGAATACTCTTTATCTTGGCTGTTAATGTATGTAAAAATATAAGTGATCTGCCCTGGACGCTGTTTGTTATTACTATTTTTGTTTACCTTGTAGATCAGAGAGGAGGAAATGTTTTCTCATTTCATAACTGAGAAATGAAGATGGGTGAAAAATTAAAGGAAAAACAAAGAGTCGTAGTCTGTGAACTCTACTGGAGGCAACACAATTCTTCCTAAATGTATTCCCTTGTTTGGTGTTTTGTCATTTGGGTTAAGATCCTGTTACTGTGAGGCTTTAACATATGATTCATATCATTTTCATATTCATCAGACCATTCAGGGACTCCTCTAGCCCTGTATGGAAGTTCTTATAGGCCTATACTGTATCTTTTAGTTTTGTTTGTCATCCATTTGTATATGAACATGTTTACAAAAACAATATTAATTGCCCTGTACGATAAAATATTCATCAACTATACATTCCTAAATATCAATCAATGAAATTAAACAACATTTATGTGTTTGTTGTTATTTATTTTCATCATTATCATGAATCATGACTCAAAATAGAGTCTGTGAAATATTAAACACAGCAGCTGCATGTCTGCTGGAACAGAAGCTCCTGTAGCGCCTCCTGGAGAGCACGAGTGTCCTCAGCAAGGTGGTAATGGTCCAGGAGGGGTCCTCAGAGACCCTCTCAATTAATGTGGATCTAATCTTGTCACCACAGTGAGATCTGCAAACTTGACAGTGACTTTGGGATGCCTGATATGANNGTGTCAAACAAATTCATGAAAAATGTACACTCTTAAATCATCATAGCATCTTTAAAAAATGGAACTTACTTTTCACTTATCACATATTACACACCTCATACAAACTATAATATTTAACTCATTTAGGTCTCTGAGTAGGCCACAGTCCAGTTCAGACCAGAAGGACTGGAGTGTGGAAGAGGACAGTGAGGGCTGAGCTTGAGGAGGTTTAATGCGGGTTCTGGTAAACCTGAGTTTGTCCAGGCTGTTCACAGCTGGGAAGAAGAACTACTAACTAGTCCAAAGAAATGGACTAGTCAGAGCTTGGAGGCTCATGGGAAGCTTTGCCCATCTTTGTGTCGGAGGTTATGTCTACATTGTCAAACTATCAGTGTCTTGATAGCAGGACAGTGGTCTGACAAACAGTGAGGATTTCTCTGTACAGGGGCAGCAACAACAAATTCCTCCCAGTGTTACTCACAAAGTGATGCAGAGAATTGTGATGTTTCACGGGACAGACTTAAATGTACTGACAGGAGGGAGGGATACGACGATTCATTATCAGGTTTTTACAGAAAGGTTTGGCCCCCTTCTGAGTTTGTCATTCCCTGACCTCATAGTCGGGCAGTGGAGAGAAAACTTGAACGATCAAGATGCCGTCTGTGGAGGAGGAAGTGCTGGAGGACTCAGGGGAGTCTCCAGAGGTCCCTGGGGTAGTGCACAGTGGCATCACGAGTGCCTTGCAACCAATGCCATGTAGCTACCACCTACCTTAGAAACTACCCCAAACACTATAGCAAACCCAGACAACCAACAAGCATCAATTGCTTTGCATGCTCACATAAAATGGAGATTGGTCCATTATCTTACGTGTCGTATTTTTTGAGATAAGAATGTAGTCTATACTTTACTACTACTCGCCTACACTTTTGTGGGAGACAGCAGCATCTCATACCAACAGTCAGCATGGGCTTCTTTTAACCCTAACCTGAAGCTCTCCCTAACATGCTGCTTAACAACAGTCAGTGCGGCTGCCTTTTAACACTTACGATGACCTAACCTTAGCTTTCTGTGCCTGCAGTGGATGAAGACATTTATTCAACAGTACTTTTGACTTGTGACTGCATGTTATGATATCAAATGGAATGTTACATTATAACAGTGCACCTACTCATCTTCTGCCACTGCAGTATGTAGATGTACATGTATTTGCAACAGTCTTTAGATCTTCAGCAAACCTTTTCTGCATGTAGGCCTTCCACATGACAGATAACGGTTAATAAGTATAACTGATAGATAACTGAAGATAAGTAGCATAATTTCTTCTAACTATTATTATTACTCTTCAGTCTCACCTGCAGTCACTGTCAATATTTTTGTGTGCATTAGACCCTGAAGAAAGTGTGTTAGAGATCAGTGATAGGGTGTCCCTCCCAGTCACAGACAGCAATAAGCATGCACCAGGATTTTATCTTTACCATTTGTTGAATCAAGTCCTATGATAGGATGTCCCCAGGTTCTGCAGGGGGATCTTACCCGTCATAGGCGAACCAGTCTTCCATACTTGACCCTTTCTTATATGTTATATGGCCCGATATGGAACCCATCAACACCAGAACAGCTTTAAGAAGAATATTAATGTGCCTGACCTGATCGGTGCAAAATCAATACCTATGGGACTGAGAATTGCCTCATTTACTTTCTTCGGGACAGATATGTATCAGAACCAGGTTTCTGAACATTTGCTGTCATGCTGACACACATCTGGTCATTTATTTTCTCACAGGACCATATATGTGTCACAACATTACATTAGGTTCTGTGCCTTGCTTTAGGACACTTGACCTTTGCCACCTGAGCTTCAACCACCCATAAACACTGACAAACTGTATGTTGGTTCAAGGCTTAGACTGGTAAAGAGGATTAAAGAACTGACATACTAATGTTAGGTGGTACTCACATGCAGTTGACTTATAATATAATAAAATAATGACTGTGGGCTGGGCAATGCATTTTACTCTTATATATTCCCCTTCCACACACCAGTTAGTCAAGTCAGAAAAACCTTGTGAGTTGTCAGTTGTTTACTGAGCAGGATTTCTTACATGCTGATTTGGTACAGGTTATGTTTTGGTTAGGTTAGGACAATACCCAATGCTATTTGACTTTCAAGTGGTCGTTTCGTTATTCATATGTGGTTGCATTGGTCTTTCTAATACCTGACATTTGTTTTCCCTAAGTTTTATCACTTCTGGAATCGCTGCCTCTTTGATATGTGTGCGATTGCGTGACCGGAATACATTTTGCGCACTGAGTCATTATGGCAACAGCATTTGATGAAAAATCTAAAAAGTTTCACTATTTAGCATCATCAAAGTCTTAAGACTTGATATGAATCCAGCCATGGTTCTTCTGCAAAATCTGATAAATATTTATAGTTACAATACAGTTTAGTTAAAAGTTAATACAAGTTGTTTATAACCTGTGTGATCTACTGAGTGGTGGATTGTAACCTTGTAATAACTGAGGAACTAATTGACATACCCCTTTCTACTGATTTCACTACATTTCAGAGGGAAATATTGTACTTTTTACAGCAAATCTTTGTCATCTTTAATTGCTAGTTACTTTACAAATGACGGTTATTGCACAAAACATACAAAGAGCTTATAAAATATGATGTTATAAATTAAACTGCTAGCAGCTGATTGACTATTAATTGGCAACTGTTTTGATAATCATTGAAGTCACTTTTCATGATCCGGTCTTCTGAAATGTGAGGATGTGCTGCTTTTCTTTGGCTCTAGGTCTGACCATTTCTCACTATTTTCAGAATACTTATAAAACCAAACAACCAATTAATTAACAGAGAAAATAGGCTACTCATTTATAATCATTAACTGCAGACCTGTACAAAATAGTTCAAATTGAGCTCCACCTCAACCAACTATAACAGTAAATTCCTGGTTTAATGATAGAATAAATTCACTGGAACCATTTTTTCTGCACTGAGTCCTTTTACTTTTTATACTGACACACTTGTAGTGTCTAGAGTATTCCTTTACTACTGGATCAAGCCACCTTACTCTTGTGCTTGCTGTACAGAGTCAAGGCAGTACCTGAAGGCAACATTGGCCATCCTGAAGAAGAAAAAAACGTGGAAAAAGGAAGGGGAAAAAAAAAAAAGAAAACACCAGATCACATGACCGCCTCCGTTATTTCCTGCAGCAACCAGCAACCTCCCCTACTAGCCCCTGCCTGCCTGCCTGCGACAGCACAGCAGTGGTGTGGTCGCTGTGAACGCACATTACCGGGAAGAAAAAGCACTCCACACGTAGTGAAGGCCTCTGCCACACTGAAAGCCCTGTTTCAGCCAACAGCGACGACGGGTATAAACACACATATACACATTTTCCGATCTTAGTTGCTGGGGTTTTTTTTATTTGATAGCGTTGTTTAAAAAAATTTTTAAGAAAAGACTAAAAAAAAGGCAGTCCTCATAATGGCGACAGCTGCGGTGTCTGCCCCTGCTGGCTGCGGCCCCAGCCCCGGGTCCGGAACAGAGCTGGTCCGCGGGCAGGCCTTCGACGTCGGGCCTCGGTACAGCAACCTCTCCTACATCGGGGAAGGAGCCTACGGCATGGTGTGGTGAGTGTTTACCTACTTTAGCTGTTTGCATGTTGTGTAGAGTTCACACATGTGCCTTTTTAGCCCCATGCAATGGTAGTTAACTTAAATCTTTGTCGTTTAAAAACAACTTCTGTCATGTTTTAGCTAGCAAGCAACAGTGTCAGACCGCTGTCAGTGAATGAAGAGGGCGTTTGGGAGGAATAAAGATTAAATCACGGCTCATAGGATGACTTTTTAAAGTTCACGTTTGGTGGATTTCGCGTTGTAATGACCGTCGGCAAGAAGCCAATGTACTTTTAACCTGGAAGTCTGTTTTTAGTGCTACTAACTTGCATGAATGGAAAACAGGTTTCTACATAAAATGCCATAAGGGTCGCCTTTAACTGAGGTTGTGTTGCATCTTATTCTCTTTTAAATGTAACACACAGCTTGTAAAATGAAATAAAACACTGTTGGTATTTTGTCCGTACTATTTCTGCAACAGGCAGGGTGTGTGCAGTCCTCCACTTTATATTTACAGTTATTTTAATTTACCTTGTGGTGTTTTTTCAATTTAATTTTATTTGTGTAGTGCCAATTCTTCAATTTTATCTCAGGACACTTTTCAAATAGAGCAGGTCTGGACCGAACTCCTCAATCTCATAAGCTAGTATAATACCACCCTTACTAGTTCACCATTTGAGTTGTAGTCAATACATTATGTACTGTGATCTGATACTACTACATCTTATCACCATGACATTTCCATAGGTTGTTACCCACGGTAGCTGTACACTATGTTATGTAGGTGATATTTGCGTGAAATACCTTAAAAAGTATTAGAGGAGGGAGTACCTCAGGAGGTTTTCTTTGTACGTTTGTTTCTGTAACATACTGATGGCTGGTTATGCAGTGAAGAGATGCAGTAGAGGAAAAACTCATCAAAACTCAATTTGTGCACAATCTTACTAGATTTTTATCCCCTTTCACTGCATGAAATTGTTACCTTAATTGTGTAAATCTGTGGTATTCCGTCTGATAAAAGATTTTATTTTAACAAAATCTCCGGATTGTATTAAGTCAAATCCCACTCGCTTCTTTCCAAAGCACTAAATCTTGTTGCTTTAGCCTGTGGTCATGTAGTTGACCTTAAATGTGCACACTGTACCGTATTACGTAATATATTGTCCTTGTGTCAAACAACAGCAGTGTAGATCTTTTTTCTTCTGTGCTGAGCGGAGCTGGGTTTTCTTAGAGCACTGATTTGAAACATAGCCAGCCTACAGTGTAGAGCAGGTTGTTGAGCATCTCTTTTTATATATATGTAAGTGAAAAGCACACTGCCATGGCTGGTACTCGTATGATCCTCTATCAACAAATGACGGGTGCAAACATACTGTAGCAGAGCGGGTCACCATTAAAGCCCCAGTGTTGGATGGATGTTCAGTTGTAAAGAGTTGTCTGTGAGGTTGTTGTTGGTTATTGAAAGAGACGATAGTACTTCAGAAAGTGATTGAAATCTGTGGTGATGGTCAGCTAGAGGTTGGGCAACAAAACTGCAGTACAAATGAAAATCCTTTCAGAAATTCTTCTCTCATTATATTGATGCTGGAACAATTGATTGAACAGTATTGGATGAAACAGACAGTTGATTAATCCTTTAAAGAATTCAAAAACACAAATAAATGCTGATGGGTAAAGATTTGCTGCCTCATTTCAGCTGATCAATGCCGATTAATCAATAGCTGACTGTCTTATTGTGTGCTGAATGTATCATGTTTTAATTACGTTTAAACTATGAATAATAGATTCTAATGCATTTTGTTTATTTCTTTTGCAAATGGAGATTTTTTTGTGTTTGGAGTAGGAGCTGTTCTGCTAACCCCGGCACATTTACATTGGTGTTGTTTTATGTGCACTGTCCCTTATGTAAAGATGAATACATAAACAATAACTCAACAGAAAACTGTAATGGACAAACCAGTCGGTTTTGTTCAAAAGGCGTTCCGTTTTTCACCCGATTGCCTTGCTCAAAGGATATTTTGGTGTTATGGGAAGTTTGGATCCAAAACTCCGAACCATCCTGGGGGGGAAACAACAAACATACAGACTGGCCTTCCTTAAAGCTTGATGTTAGGGGGACAACAGAAGAATGAACACTACAAACACAAACACAAGTTTTTACTAAACATGATAACATGAGCAAAATTAGTTCAACTTATTCAGTTTCTGCAATCGTCTGCCTGAAACTCAGCTCACACAAAGTACTGTTTTTGTTATAAGTAAAGTTTAGCATGGCTTTACTTATAACAAAAACACAACAGTTAATGTTGTTACAAGTGGTAACTTGTGGTTTTTTTTATTTATGCTCGGTTCTCACCGTCGTGGTGTTTCCACACTGATCACCTGTCAGTCAAACCATGTAGGTCGCACTGTGACCTTTTAATTCCTTGAACTTGAAGATAATGAAGTTTCAATTTATTTTAGCTGCAACCGCGCCACGAGCTCTGTTTGTCATCTTTTAGCCATGCGGGCCACCAGTGATGCTGATAAGTTCGTTTCAAGAGAATCTCAACAGGAAATAATCTAAAAAAGATTTATGAAGATACACACTCATATTTAAATATTTCCTGACATCAGCAATTATAAATCAGGGCAACAGGCACAGACAAGTCCATCATGCTTGAATAAGGTTACAGGAACTGGAATTATATTTGTCTCCCAGCGATGCCAAAATCTTTAAGATGGCAATCTTTGTGTCCATTAAATATGGCCTTTTTTTTCCCTTTTACAAGCCGTGCTCACTTGTAAGTGGCTCCTGTGAGACTAAATTTGCAACAACATAAACTGTTGTAGCTATATAAGTTGAGAGAACATTGTGACTCAGAAAGACAAATTCAGATTTGTGTACTTTTCTTTTTAGAGCAATTCCCCCCTTCTTTGTTCAATGACTACTTTCATCTTTCAGCCCTTAAACGATTATATCAGCCTCTATACCAGCAGCAAAAGCCATATGAACACCCCATTGTTCTTCCAGTTTTAATGTGATCTGTGCTCATGTAAAAGCCCAGTTCTGTACTTGGTGTTGTTTCTGTATTTTTGGCGTGCTCAGAGGCAGTTGGAGTGGGCGATGTGTCAGCCTCAGCCTCCTTGCACTTGCTGCGTTCTTCTTGAGACCTGTAGTTTTGAGTCAGCTGGTCATGTTGCTTTGATGTGCAGCAGCCAAAGTAAAGTGGTGCAGCGTGTACTTCATAGACATCCCTTGGTTTGCATCTGAAGTATTTTTTTCCCATCGCATCAGGAAGTTCTTTTTTATCAAGCTCTTTGTGGTGGCAGTGCACCACTGTGTACTGGTCGACTTCCCCCGGGCTGCGTTCAGCAAGCATTATGAGACCGAAAAGCTGGCTTTATGTTCATATTTTATTATGCACATCTTATGCATAAATACACATTTCACACAGGTTTTAAGCAAAATAAGAAAAGATCATGAATACATTTTTAGACATTTCAATAGCTTACAGAGGTTTTTAGTGATAAATATTCCAACATTAAAACAAAAGTGACAGCATACACATTGTGCTTGCATGTTAAAAAACCTTTCTAAAACATAGAAACTTCAACTTACTTAAGTTAAGCTGAAAAGCTGTTTACAGTTGCCATGACAACAGCTTTCTCTGCTGTGTCCTTGTCTTGCTTTCTGCTGTTTTCTTGAGTTCAGTGTGCAGTCCTGAAGCAGTTTAACTTGATCACACCAAAGATAATCCAGGGTAGAGCTGTCACTCTTTCCAAAAATCAAGTTCAAATAATAAATCTCAAAACACATGGTACAAATGTATGACACATGAAAACATAACGTAAAGACTATACTAAAGATAGAACACTTGCCACACATTGTTGAATATCCCTCTCTTATCTGTGATAAGCGAGTATAACGTGGGCCAAGGGTTTGTATCTGTTCATGGGTTGTTACTGAAAAGTTGTGGTTCTCATGTCTGACACTAGACCTACATGGTCAGTCTTAACTAATAAAGATGTGGCTCTGATATGTTATCTCTATATGTCCTCTACAATATGTTAGCTGTAGGTACCATTACCATTCAGCTGTAGTATATTGTACACGATTGTGCAAATCTGAGTAAGACGAGGCGTGGCAGAGCTTAAAATCAGTCTGTACTTCTTGCACTTAAGGTTGGTTGTAGCCATTATAGATATAAATCATGAATTTTAGGCTCTTGAGTTGTTTGTGTAAAGAAAGGTCTGGTAGTTAGTAGGTTAAGTTACAAAGTTTTGAGTTTGTGCAAGGATATGCTGTATTACAATGTCTGGTTGTGTTTGACTGCATGGTAAGAGGGCGGCCGACTGTGAGGCACGTCTGTGTCATTCTCAGAGTAGGCCTATTTTTGTTTTCAATGGCCTCTTGTTGATGGTAAGGCTGTTGCATGTCAGGGCTTTCCAGTGGCTGAGGGCCGCGCAGATTGACGATGCACTGAGCCTCTTACCACGAGCCTCAGTTGGTGCACACAGTCTGCTTACACAATCGCCAGATACTATATCACCCTCTGTGATGATGTTCAAGCTGCTGTGGCATACTCTGCCTTTTCAACTCGCCCACATGAACAGTTAGATCATGGGGAATGCTGCTGAAGTGGCTGTTTCTGAGAAGTTTTATATCAAAAAAGATTATTGGTGGTCGGTTAGTTAGTTACACCTTTTGGGCATGTTCATGGAAAGTTGGAAGAAACAAAACAATTGGATCTTGGCATCTCGTTGCTTCTACTTCTAAGCTTTTGTTTTGTTCGTTCATTGTTATTCATTACATTTCTCAATACATTTTATTAACTGGTGTTAGTATTTGGAGAGAGAGGGCTGGATTGGTGCCAGGGTTTCCATTAGCCAGCATATGCCGGCTTTTTGACGGTATCATACGTAGTTGTCCAGCAGATAAAAATATCAGTGTACTGCCAAGGGGTTGGATGGTTTCAACTTTGCACAAGCAGCGGTGTACTTCAATGAAGTCACACTGCAAATGAACGGACATC